TACAAAGTGGCAAAATCCTTAACAGATTCGATTGCAAGAAAGCACTGTTTGACAAAGAAGTTGGCCAGTTGTGCCTTAGCTTGATTTGTTGCAGACAACCAGGGAAAACCCCAGGGACACAAGGAGCTTCTCAAAGGAACAGGCCCCCCTTTCCCCAAGGAGCGATGGCGGGCACGGCTGTAGGTCCCACAAGGCGGCGAAAGCATGAGAACATCGTAATGTCCTGACTTGATTTTCTCCAAGATGCACTGCCATGACTGAGCCGAAGACAGATCAAAGGAAGGGTCTCTACGGATGTCCCATTCATCCATTTCCAACTGGAATCCATGAATTTTGCTGAATTCACGCAAATGCCACGCAATGTCACCATCTCGCTGCAGACCACTGAAAAGATACAAAACCCGAAGTCAGTTTTTGCTGTCTGTGGCCTTGCCATCAGTCTTGGCGAAATGATCCTGCCAGTGCTTCCATGTGGGGCGCTGGCCGAAGCACCCTCGGACTTGGCAACAATGTACCATGCCGCAGTCACCTGGACAGCCAGAAGTCGAGTAGGCAAAGCGAGACGTCCATCGGGAGTACGGCTTGCCAGTTCTCCATTGCCTTTGCCCTTCTTTCCCTTCGGGTCCTTCCCCTTTTGCGTGTCCTTTCCTTCCCCTTTTCCAGGGCCTTTCTCGCCTTTGCGCCATTTCCATGGCTGTCCAGAGTTCGGACGCTCGTACCAAGTGCTGGGGGGTGGCATGTTGCGATTCTGCAGTGCAATGGGTGACGTGAAGAATTGCTCTTCAACTGCGCATCGCCCTGCACCTCTCGGAGAGTCTCAGAGAGTGGACGTGGACGTGAATCACGAAAGGCTCGCTTGACTGCCTCCTTGCGAAGCTCGAACTCATAGTTGATCATCACGGTCCATGGTGGGCGAAGCGCCACCTGATCAGTTTTGCCCTTCCCGGAAGGGGATGGGATCTGCATCAGATACACCTTCTCTCCCAGCAAGTAATTTGAATATTCCAGCCACACAGAAGGAGTCATATCCTTGAAGAAAACCTTGTTGCGGTATTTGCTCCCCA